CCAAGTAGCTGGGACCACAGGCGCCTGCCACAACACCTGGCCATTTTTTGGTTGCAGCCATCATTGTTGTTTGGTGGGCCCAGGCTGGATTCGAACCCGCCACCTTAGGTGTATGTGGCTGGTGCCTTAACCAGTTGAGCCACAGCGCCGAGCCTCCATTATATGTTAAATGAAGCTGTTGAGTGGTTCCCATTCTGAGTTGCAGAGGTTGCTTCCCAGGAGAGCGCAGTGCAGGGATCTGGGGCCTCGAGCAAAAATGACAGAGTTGTGAGAGAACAGCCGTGCAGATGACAGTGTTTCCAGGAAGAGGATCATGGTTGAAAGGGTGGTATGATCTCTAAGTCACAAAAACAAACATTTAACCTACTGTGATTCTTCTCTTTATTTAGGAGTAGATTTGGTCAGAAAAGGAATTCTAACTTTTCTGTGCAGCGTTCTTCTTCGACATCTCCAACGGAGAAGTACCAGGTAATGTGATAGCTTTTCTGCTTTTTGGGGTGAGACTGGCTTGATTGAAGTGTCATGAAAATTTTATCCGATTCCAGACGGTGAAGAAAATGGGTATCACTGGTGTATTGATACCTGATACTGTGTCATATGCTCTGATTTGTGATGAACTTTGATTTGAATCTCAAAGAGCCGCCTAACTTCCTAGAGACAAATAGTTTAACCTGAGATCTGTGGCAGCTTATGTGCTGCCCTCAGTGCCTGATACTGTGATCCGATGTCACTGCTGGCACAGCCTGCCTCATCCGGAGGGGAAGTGCCAGCTCCAGATACCACTGCCCTCTGGAACGAAGGGCCAGAAAAGCACCGTGAGTGTTGTCATCTATGACATAGTAGTAGCTGGAGCAGAGTGCCATCTCTCCCTGTTCGAGCATGTCCTGCAGTACTGCAGTGCCCTCAGTGCTCCAGTGAGTGACACTGGGCTAGACTGCGCCGTTCAGTACTTTGCTGGTCTTTCTGGTTAAGGATTATGTTAGAATTCCCAGGTTCAGACTCCAATTAACACATTTAGGAATAGAGAACCTTTCTGACTTCCCATGTTAGGTGCTTTTAGCAATAGGGATTTGAGGCCCTTCTATAGTTTGTTTTGTGTTGTTTTAAAGAAACTCACATTAGGTATGAGTAGGAAAAGGATAAGGTAGGAAAAGCATAAGAAGACTTTAAAGGGAAGGAAAATGAATACACCCATGATATGTAGATAGTTCCCTAGCCACAGCATGTGGGTCAGGGTCCATTTGAAAGGAAGAACCGCCCATAGGCACTGAAGGTTGTCCCAGGTCTCCTAGAGACAGATTTCCTAGGAACCTTGCTTGGGAGCTGGCCTCTTCCACTCTCTTTTCCCTCTCTCTCTCAGCAGAATGGTGACAAAGGGAATGGCTCAGTTGTTCTTTCTTTTTATTTTGATTATTTTTAGGACATGCCTTTTAACAGTGGGAGGATTGAGTGTGTGACTCTCCTCTTTCCCTTTTGTGATAGATTGAGTCTCAATCTTGCTCCATCAACCTGTCTACCCTGTAGGCACATGTGCTCTCTCGTGGCCTGTCACAGCCTTTAGGGAAGTAAGTAGAAGCATAAACTAAAAATTAAATATATCAATGTAATGATCTTCTTTTTCCAGAATGGCACAATGAAAAAGGAAGGAAAAGATAATGTCCTTGAGCATTTTAGTGGAAGAACAGAAGATGCAGAGTCTTCATCTGGGGCTCTCACCTCATCATCACTCTTGGCTAGAATGAGAGCTAGAAACCACCTGATTCTGCCAGAGCGGTTAGAGAGTGAAGGTGGACACCTTCCAGAGGCTTCTGCCCCACTGCCCACCACAGAACATGATGACCTTCTGGTGGAAATTAGAAACTTCATCGCTTTTCAGGCCCACGTTGATGGCCAGGCCAGCACTCGGGAGATACTTCAGGAGTTCGAATCCAAGCTGTCTGCATCTCAGTCTTGTGTCTTCCGAGAACTGTTGAGAAATCTATGCACTTTTCATAGAACTTCTGGTGGTGAAGGAATCTGGAAACTCAAGCCAGAATACTGCTGAACGTGTTGCTTCCTAAACTTTCAGTTCACTTTTTCTAATGGAAATTTCTGATTATTAATCTGATTAATAATCATGTGTTTGTTGACTGAATTTGGCTGCACTTGATACTTTACATGATAACTACCTCAAAATTAAAACTTTAAGGAAGAAGAAACTTTTTTGAAATTTAGAAGTTTTAATAATGGTAACTAAAGGAGAAAATACATGAATTTTTTTTTTTTGGTACTCTTAATTATGTTATAAAATCAGGGACCTAGCATTTATTCCTTGGAGCACCTTTGTCCCTTTACCCAAAAGATGCTGTCAGGGAGCACATTTAGAAATACCTAGAACAGAAATCTCAAGAATTCTTTTTATTGGTGCTAAAAACAGGTCTTCTATTCAGTCAGACTCATTCAATAATTAGTTCATCAATATCTGATAACATCCTTATTTAAACTTATAACTTTTAAATATTTAAATGTATAGTTTGCTGTCCCCAAAAGATCAGATTTATCCGTTATTTGTAAAGGATCCTCTTTTTAAGATATTGTTAAAATACTGTTAAATTGGCAGGTATTTTTGTCATAAAGCATGAAATAGTGGGGTAATAAATGATATGGCATGTATTTGTGGAAAGTTGTAGTGTATTCAGTTTACTATGACTTTATTTTAAGGAAAAGGCATCCTTTATGCCCCATCGTGAATCTTAGTTTTAGGAAAATACAATGTGTTATCATTTAAAAAAATCAAGCAGAACCAAAAGTAAGTACATAAAACCCCTCAAATGAACACATACAATCACTGCAGACCAGAACAGACACAGCCATGGTGACCATCAGATGACACCACTCCGGGCCCCTCTGACTGTAGGCTGGCAGGTGTCTTTGATCCTCTGGCCTTTGTTTCTGGAGCTTGTTTTGCCGAGATGCTGATCGAGTCCTGCCTCCTCTCCGGTTGCCTCCGTCTCACACCTGCTTTTGTGACACTCTCTGTGTCATCGCCGTGATGCTCGTTCCTGTTTGTGTGATGTGGTTTTCAGCTGAGACTTCTCGCTCTGACTGTGGTTTATGTGTTTATGGTTCTGTGATGGTGTTGCCGTGAGCCTCTGTTTATTTTTTTACCCTTGTTTTTCTTATTTCCTCTTTATGGTTATCTCATCTCAGAAGTCTTATTTTGTTGAGTTCACTGTATCTTTTAGATTTCTGCAGTAGCCACCACAGTGCGGTTTGTTTCCTGGATTTGTTTTCTCTGGCTTCCTGTTCCTCTCTCATTTTCCTGCATTGGGCTTGTTTTCCTCTAGTGCCGTTTCTTTACATCTTTCTCAGACTTAAAGTGGACAGTTGTGTCCCATCTTCTGTTTGCTCTTCCCTGTGACCCAGAGAGAAGGGGTCTGGTCTGGGGAGCATCGCTGAGCTGTGTGAGGCTTTGGTAGGAGGACACAGGATGTACTTTGCTGTGATACTTTCTTCGGTCAAGAATCTTTTCTCAGACAGAGATATCTTAGTTAGAGACATGATTCTTGCCAGGATTTTCTACTTTTTTTAGATTCTAGCTTGTTCAGTTTTTTTCTATTTTTAGTTTGGTTCATATATATTGAACTAGGAAGATTGTATTGTTTTTGTCACTTTGCCATCATTATCTAGAAGCCATAGAAGGTATCTTTAAATAGGTCAATAAATTTTAAATCTGAGTATTTGGCTGAGAAAGGAGTCAAAACTCATGACTAGTTTGTTTCTGGGGACCTCTTTGTTTTTTATTTTTATAGTAGTGTAAGGAAATTGTGTCCCATTGTTCTCAGGGTAAAGTACTGACCCAGTTTACGAGTGTCAAGCATGTGTGCATCATATCTGTGGTGTCTGAAATCTAAATTATACTGAGCTAGAGAAGAGGTAACTTCTTCAAGTAAAAAATACTGTCTAAAGTTGTGATGCAGTAAGAGCAAGGTGGTCCTTGTTCCAGTTCTTGCCTCAGTTCTGCCACTGACATTCAGCCTTGAGTAGGTTGTGTCTTGGTATGGAAGTCTGTAGGCATGGTCATTATGCCTCCTAGATGGAGGGACTTAAGAGCAATGCTGCCGGCGGCGTGGTTTTTAACAATGTAGATAAACTTATTTATTTAGATAAAATCTTAAGTTGAACTTTAAAAGCTTTGTATAATGTAAATAGACTTAATGTGTTAAATATATCAGTACAAATAAAGGATTTTAAAATTTTGTCAAATTCTTTAAATTTCCTACATGAATATGCCATCATTGTTAATAAATTTCAAGCAATACTCTGCCCCCCCACCCCTATGCCAGTCCTGCCCCTGTTCCCGAGCGGAGCCTGGTACTCTATTTGGTGTGTGCTCTTCTGGGCTAGTTTCCATGCATTTACAATGTCTTTCCCCTTTCTTTACTGAAGATCCCCGAGTTTTACCTGGACACGTGGCTGCTCAGCTAAGACTGTATTTCTCAGCCTTCCTTAGGGTTCACTGTGGCCATATGGTTGTTTTAGGCAATGGGATGTGAGTAAAACTTCCACATTGAGCCCTTAAATAAGGAATTGGGTGTACGCTCCCCCGACATTCCCATTTTTGCCGGCTGAAAGGCCAGTGGGAAGTTCTGCAGTGCGGCGTCTGAGAGATGGGAGTCGTGTGTTGAGAATGAGTAGTTGGCCTGCTGGTCTTGAACTGCTTTACTTTGACCTATTACTCATGAGTGAGATACCTAACTGACTTGTTTAAACCACTGTCTTTTAAAAAGTCAATTATATCAGCTAGTTTGTTTTATATATGAAATTTACATTGATGAGATTATACCATCCTTATTTTGCAACCAGCTTTTCATTTTTGTATGTGAGACATTTTCATTCTGATAAGTGTTAACTCTGGCTTTATGGAATTGTTGGATTTAAAATGATGTAGATTTTTAAATGTTAAAGGGTACAGTGGAATTACTTGCTTTAATTCACATTCCATGAAAGGACCCATTTCTTTACACCTTTGCCAACAGTAGGGTAGTATCAATCTCATAGATTGGGGTTTTTTTTTAAAATCCAGTCTTGTTTTAACTTGAATTTCTCTGATTTCTTAGAAAACCGAACATTTCCATGTTTGTTGGCCGTTCATAGATCTCTTCTGCGAGTTGCCTGTTTGTGTAATAATTTGCCCAGTTTTTCTATGGTTTATGTATCTTTTATGGTTATTCCCCAAACAGAAGTGAAAAGGCTGTCAAGAGATCATCCCTTGGGTTATTCCCCAAACAGAAGTTGTTCTGACTGTCAGGAGATAGTCCATTCTTTTCACCATCAATCTGAGATGCAATCTTCAACTCACCACATGTTAAGTGTCTGTTCTGGCCAACGGACCCAGATTTTAGTTCTACCAACCACACTTTCTTCACACCATCATTTAGCTTTGCACTGTTTCTTGCCTTCTATGGGTAACTCTCTCCTTTCTCCTCTTCACTGTCCTATTGTGCATTTTCTGCTCTACCTGAATTGAAGAATCCGTTTACTAAGTTCTAGTACATTTTTTTTATTAGTTTACATAATAATTCGAAGGTAATAGACTTTGTTTATTATTAATACAATTTTTGGCTCAGAGCCTGTGGCTCAAGTGGCTAAGGCGCCAGCCACATACACCTAAGGTGATGGGTTTGAATCCAGCCCTGGCCTGCCAAACAACAATGACGGCTGCAACCAAAAAATAACCAGGTGTTGTGGTGGGTGCCTGTGGTCCCAGCTACTTGGGAGGC